TTTGTTCCTAATTTATTTTCTTTTTTACGGGTACCCGGCCCGGAAAAATGGAACCGTGTTTTGAAATCGACGGGCGGGTACCCAGGTACCCGGCACAGGCCTAGTTCCAAGTGTGAACAATACGCTGAAAATAAAAGGCTTTATGAGACTCAAGATTACAACGGGGAATGGATGAATTAAATGGATTGGAAGATAGTCTTGTGGTAGGACGGCCCTGGTTAAGATTAAACTGGACAAAACAATCAAAAGTTGTGTCATAATGACCAGCCTTACATTTAAATAAAACAAAAGGTCCTGGATTTATAGTCTATAAGACAGTGGCAGCAACTTGAGTCTACGTATGCGTGATTTATAAAACTCTAGCTCAGTGCATCAAACCAATGGTGCGTTTGATCATCCCTATTTTATGATCACATTTACCTGTAATTCGATTGATATGATCATTCTAAATAAAAGAAAATGAAATATCAACACCTAGATCTCTTACCGATTATGTACGCTCAAGGGAAATACCATTTAGTGCATAATTAAATTTGATCAATTATTTTTGCCTTAAAATGGAGATGATCTTACATTTTGAGGTATTAAAATGCAAATCCCACTTCTTACTCCATGAATACAAGGAACTATTATCATCCTGTAAAGAAATACAATCCGATAAGGTTTCAATGGTTTCAATTTGAAGCACTTGGAATCATCAGCAAATAATGTGGCGTGGTGGGCATGCAAAACTGTCATTACTATTCAATATAAACAACAACGGCCCCAGCACAGAACCTTGTGGAACACCAGAAACAACTGGTAACCAATCTGAACTACATCCTCGACAGCCATCCTTTGCTGACGGCAGGATAAATAGGATTTAAACCAACCAAGTAAATCTCAGTGAAAACCGAATGACTTCAATTTATGGATAAGGAAATTATGTGACACACTGTCAAAAGCTTTTGAAAAATCAAGATAAATCATGTCAACATGCCCAGCTGTGTCCAAGATGCTTCTAATCACCTGCAAAACTGTTAAGAGTTGAGTGATTGTGGATCGACCTATAACAAATCCATGCTGAAGATGATAAATGTCATCCTCGATGACAGAAAAAATGACGTTAAATATGGCCCTTTCCATGACCTTGGCACCAATGAAAAGTAGAGACACTGGTCTGTAGTTTTCAACCTCACTTTTGTCAGATTTTTGTGAACCGGAACCACATTAGCCTTAAGCCAGTCAGTGGGTAACCCTGAAGTCCCTTATGAACTGATTCCTCATTCAACTTGTCATAAAGTTCGTAGAAAAAAAATTCCCCCGCCCCATACTAGCGTATCATTCACACAATCCGCCCCGCAGAAGCACGCCCTCTGCGTTTGAAAAGAGCCGCACTGGTCGGGATTGTTGAATTTGTTGGTAGCACGAACGATGCGACCGCGACGCGTGCATTTCAGCGAAGTTCACTTCCGACCACTGATCCCTGGTTCCGACCAAATGAGCCTCTGGTGCTAAGAAATGGCGCCCTCTCTTGGTCTAGCTCGAGGCCCATTGATGCACGTGCATTTGGAAATACCAAGGAGAAGCTGCCAGGGAAAAATTTTAATGTTGACGATCATTGTTTGTGTCCATGTGTGTTACAGAGCAACAGTCTGTGCAGTATATAAGGTTAACGGTTATCTGCTTAATATGGATAAGTGGTAAAGCTCGCCTTATCAGATTGTTAGACAGTGGGTTCGAATCCCAGCCATGGCTTTTTATTTTCCTAACTCTTGCTGTCAGTCAGTAGCTATAAGAGACTTTAATTCACCCCTGCCAAATACCAACAGTTCCTTAGCCGACCGGGTAAGCTCTTCTGTTTGGACTGTCCGCAAAGTCCAGGTGAGCACCTCAGTACAGGTTCCAGACGTATAGCCGACTCGGCGGCCAGGGCTTAGGGGCTTGTCTCGTTTCCTCCCTTGCATGGACGCACGAACCCTTTTGGGGCTTAAGTGGTTGGGCAGGGAGGAAGTGCGGTGGGCCGGAAACCCGAGACCCCAGAAGAGTCCTATATGGAAGCCGGTAAATGCGATTCCTTGCGAATTTCAGGAGTCCGTGCGCCTGACTGCTTGGTCAACACCGCATAAGTTTGGATTTTTTCCTCACCACATTTTTTTTTTAATTTCGCTGGGCGCAGAACCCACAAGGCATTTTTCTAGGTTTGAATACAGTGAGTTAAAGGACTGATGATGACTTATTTTCATAATCTTAATTTCTTAAATTGTCGACAACAGTCAGACCGATCCCAAAAGTGTTCGGGACTATTTTTTTCTTAGTGATCAAACTATAAAGGCAGTGGCGCAAATCTGTGTTGGAAATTGGGGCAATGGGGGATGGGGAAATGTGGGGGGGGGGGTGAATTGCCCGGCCATGGAAATTTGAAAAGGGGGGGGGCCTGTACACTATATAGAGGGCGATGTTCATGATGTACATCTGTAATCTGTAATAAATTCATACAGAATAAGAATGGCATATTTACTATGAGCACAATAATGAGCATGCGCACTCTGAACAACCACAGACTGAGCAATCCAGTGCATGCTTCAAGTAGCTTCCAGGGGACAACTCTGATGACCTGAGGCTCCCCCTTTTATATTGTGTGTCATAAATATGCGAGACTGCACACGATTCAACGCGTGTAAGGAAGTCCAACACGGCCCAATTTCTTCCTTTATACGCGATTTTGTGGAGGAGAAATCAGATGCCATCACGCCACTAAAACATGGGACCGTTCCCAGCCAGCATGAGACCACAGTATATATTATGGTATATTTAACGACAGACGTCACGTCTGTCAGATGAGGGTATTTTTGAGCTCGTAAGTGATATTTATACACCTGATCGAAAGAAACAAATTCAATAACTAGTCAAACGCTTAAAGCAAACTGTCAGACACATAGAAACAAATGTTACAGCAAAGGCTGGTTAAGTTGGAACATGAAATTTCGTGTTGCGCTTTACGTCAGGTATAATGGCAATTGGTATACACCGGATTAATGAATGTTTCACATTCGTACCGTAATTTCATGAGCTAACAACGTGAATGTCCTATTGCACAAGGTAAACTTACCATTGCCCTGAAAAAAAGTATAAAAACGAACTAACCCCCCTGAGAAAAAAGTGGGTTCATATGTGCATCCCTACCCGAGGGACAATGCCTTCGTTCTTTAACCGAGATCAGTATCTAGTTTTGTTTTCTGTGCGTTTTAAAACATTCTTTACGCCAACTTTATTATTTTTTTTTGACTCATTTTTTGTATGAATTACAATGATTTATTCTGGATGAAATGTAACTTAAACTGACAGGCCAGTTCCCTTCAGGGGGTTAGATTGGACATTCATGACATAATAACAAGCGATTGTTTCCTGTTTTTGGCCCGCGGCAATCTTATTAGATGACCTTATTACATGAACTTTTAGTGCGATCTAACTGGATGAATTAAATAGAAGGCTGAAAAGGCCAAGCTATTCTTAAATTTATGTCTTGTTCAAACTTCGATTGATGTGATCCAAAATACCTTTAACAGAAAACATACTCCATACATTCTAATTTCGGATTTATAAACCCTATTTATGTACAGGCACACCCAAGCAGTAGCCTATTTTCAAGGCTGCACGGGTGTTTTTGATGACACATATCTCTGTCCTTTGAAGGCGATATACATGATTCGTTCGACGGTCACTTTACCAGTTGCCCTATAGCTTGCCGTTCATTCATGTAATGTGGGCGGACAGCCATTTTATTGTATGCGTGATCATATTGTCTAAATGACATGAGTCTCAGTCCAAGTACTCATACAAGAACCGTGTATCCGACTCGAACTAAGTCTACACCCACGAGATCGACTGAGCATAACCCGACAACGGGTTATGTCCACACAGCCTCAGCCGGAATCTTGCCCAAAAATGGCTGGTGTAATTGCGTTCGACCTCTCAGGAAGAAGCTGTTGGTGCCGTGTGCAAAACTTTTCAGATTTGTCAAGAATGCAGTTGGGATATTCTCTGGGCCTTCGATCTAGTACACTATCTGTCGTCCTGTGGTTTACTCCGGATCTGGTTAGCGTTCGTAAAGGCTCTTGTCGCAGGAAGAGGTCCAAGTTGGCGAACATCCATTTGTACGTTGATCGGCAAGGGAAAAGGTAGGTTCGTAGAACTACTAGAGTCTCAATGTGTTATAGGTATTTCCTAATTACGATCATGTTTATTCAGCAGTTTTGAAACTATCCCAAACCAGACCATTGCTAAAGTGCTTTTTCTTTAACATCTTGAAGCAATGAAACCATGCCAACTCCAGTCATATTCCAATTCAAAAGTTCATAGGCAAGAGAAAGAGACAAATGATAATTGTATTGGTTTAGTCCTGTTGTTCCTCCTGCATTGTTTTGCTTTTGTTGTAGCCACCATTCGTTAAAAAACAAAAACAATGATTGATAAATCTCACTTTAAAGTAGTAAATCATAGATGTTAAGCGCTCATTCGAGTGAGCGGTCAACTTCACTTAAGGGTTATTGGGATACGAGTCACTTTTGTTGCATTTCCACCCATTCTTGATTGATTGCTGCAATCGAAAAGGACAGATTAGGAATCTAATTTGTATTAATTATTCACAGTTCTTTCCTTTTTTTCCCATGGCAGTTTTCTTAGCTGACCTTATGTTCTCCAAACATTTCTCAAACTTTGAAGCTAGAGTCATGAAACATGATAGTCTGGGCAAACTTATAAACTTGGAAAAATAACAATAATAATTGACATTTTATTATTATTGTGCTCAATACTTAAAACTCAAAGTCTCAAAACTTTTCACAATGTTTTTGCTACATTAAAGTTTCCTTTTATTATCCTTCTCATTACTGATGCAATACCTAGTAGTTCGCCCGTAGTCTGAATAACGAGGGCAAATACTTGTGACCCACTCTACGAAAATGAGTCTTAGGTCGCCAGAGCTACTTTGGAGTAAAAAGTGTTTTGGAATAATTTTGCACAGTGTAAATCATGAGGAACGCACAGCATTTTTCACCATGGAGTATCCACTTTCATCAGTATGCCAAACTGAGTGATACATCAAAACAAAAAACTCAATTTGCTCTTTCTAGTACAAATGAAAACTCAAAAAGTGGCTCTGGCGACTTGAGACTCATATTCACGGAGTGGGTCACATTTAGGTTTATATCACAAGCCCTTAGGTTGTACAGTGTGAGTGCATGAAGTGAAACAGGAGCAAAATCATCGAGGGTTCTTTAGAAATTCGTAGTACGGTTACCAGCACGAGTTTGGGCAATTTTTGCTTTGAGGACACTCCATGAACTGTGTGAAAAGTTGGGATAGTTTCACCTTTTTTCTTTACATTCTCCCACATGCTGCTGACTGTTTTGCTACTGTATAAGAAAAGGAGACTGGAGAGGTTGGAGTGGTAATGTGGGGCTAATACACAGGCTGTGAAATTTAAAAAAAAATGAGCGGAACAAACAAGTAACTGGAGGTGACCCTATTGTAAGGATTGCACGAATTTGAATCTACGACAGCTCTGTTGCCTTAATACCTTGTGTCTGAGGCTCTACCGTCTAATTCCCTGTCTCGTCACCTTTCCAATACCCGCAGCGTGTTCGCGTGGTACATGGTGTTATTTGTGTGGAGAGTATTCTGTCTACTTGTTAAGAATTCCTGGTATGCATACAGAAATTAAAGCTGATGATATGTGTCTGTATGGTGCCGGAGAAAGATATATACTAATTGAAAACGCAGGTTCACTTTAAGCCTCAGATATGAACTTGACTGACCTAAATTAAAGAACTCCACTGTAAAAAAGAACGAATGGAAACTTAAACAAAGGATAAAAATAATAAGTAGTATTCATGAGATAATTTTAAGGTCACGCTTTCCTTGGGAATGTTAATCTTTTTCCGCTTTCCATTTATTTCTACTTTTTAAATATGCAAACCCATTTCTGAATTCGAAATGCAAATAATAATTTTAATTAGCATGGGAGTGGGATGGGGGTATATCCCCAACCCACTTTTTAGCCTCGGGATGAACCACTTGAATAATCCCCTACACTTTTGGCTTTGCGAAACATAAAGTGAGCATTTCACGTTGTTCTTTTGTGTCCTATTTAAATTACCAGCGTTTCCATTTTGCTGTGCTTCGTTGAGGGCATTTTGGTACTTTTCTCTAGTCGATTCATATTTGCGATGAAAAGCATGGAAAATTTTGAACGTGGAGCAAGTTCGCGTTTCAGATAAATGACAGTACCGAAAGAATTGTCAGTGTTACCGAGGGTAGAAAGTAAACATGCCTATACCAAGGATACAATTGCAGGATCAGCACTCACAGAAGTAAGTCTTAAAACCTCACTCACTGTTACAAGTATACAAATTTGGATCTCAAGATTTTTTTCTTTGAATGTGACGCTCTAGTTCCTAACTTATGTGTTTGGGTTTTCCCCAACCATGACATTGGGTAGTTTTCTTGAATTTAAGAGAAGTAGAAATCGTACAAAGCATCTTTGTGATTAAAATTCCTATTAATCGTGCCTTTTAATACGACAGGACAAAGAGGGGAAAACAATAATCATTTTTTAGTTTATAAATAAATGGTTGTTGTTTTCTTTCTGCAGACCTGAGTCACAATGCCACAGTGGGGAGGAGGCGAAGTATGTCCTGCTTGCAACAAGTCAGTGTACAAGGCAGAGGAAGCACCTACCAAAGTACAAAGCCGGACGTTTCATAAGCTCTGCTTCAAGTGTGGTAAGAGCTTCAATGGAATTGGGGCAAGACTAAAGCTGTTTTCGCGCTTTGCAGAAGGAAGGGAGACCAATTGTCCCGTTACTATATTTAAATGTACACAAAAACTTTGTGGGGGTGGGGGGTGGCTGGCGCTGGCCCAGTCTCCCCGACCCGCCAAACCATAACCGAGTAAAGCTCGCGGCCTGCTTATTTTGAATTTTTGGTGAGAATAGGGCCGTAGTACAAAGTCAAATCAGTTAAAATCAGTTAAAAGGTGTATAGTTAATATAGACTTTTAATCTTCCGTTCAGGTGTTCTTAATGCAGCCACAAATTGGCTGAATGGTGTGGGCTGAAATGCTTAGGCCTATGGTCTAGTGCCTTGGGGATTTTTTCAATAGTATAAATACAACCAAACTGAAATTCACTACGGACCAGAGAGGAAATCTATCCACGTGTAGATATCATGAAAAACACTACGTCACTGTCACACTGGGGCATTTTTTGGCGACCCCGATCTAGAAACATGTTTGTGACATCAAAGCAATAACCAGGAAGGGTGGCACACAACAACGAAGCGCCAGAAATGGTTACGTCATCTGGTAGAGGCAAGCAAGCGCAAGAAAGCAGACGACAATCAATTTTCACTCAATATTCGACACGTTTCTGACAAGTGCTACTCTCTCTTTTCATATGCCTTCTAGAAGAAAGTATCTTTGATTCGCTGCATGTTACAACAAATTTTGAAATGTTTAACTGACTCATAATATGAAGGGTAACACCAAGTCTGTTTTTCGCCATTTTTTACCAGCGCTGAACTACCTTCAACTTCAACATTTGGTTCTCCTGTTTAACGGTCGGAACAATGACGTCACAAAGCATAACTGAGTTGCAAAAATGCTTAACAAATGACAAAAGAAATATGGAAGGGCTGCGTAGCACCGTGATCAGAACATTGACAAGAATATAATGTAAAAAACAGTGCTATGGAATATGTGATTGCCGAGCATTTAGTAAGTGAATACCTTCCTCAGGGCAAGCAGATTCAGCTCACAATTGAACTGAAGGTACTCAGTTACCGAAAGCTCGGCAATCACATATTCCAGAGCACTGATTTTATATTACATTCTTGTCAATAAACAATGACCAAAGTTGAAACAAGTTCATGGTTCTGGTTGCCAAAATACGCCCCTGTGTACATGGTACTTGGTTAAGGCCTCATGAGAGACTATGTAGGAGAACACGCTTCCTTTGAATGTCCTATCAAGTTGCGCGTTGCCTTCACGTTCCAAGGTTCCATGTTGCTTTATGTGGAGTGGGCGTGATTTGAACTGAAGTGATGTCACACTTACGAGCCGGATAGACCACCAAACGAGCAAGAGAAGTTGCACTTGAATGTGCTATCGTATTATCTTGACATATTGGTCAAATTTCGTATCACTGCTAAACAAGGAAATTTGCAATGGAAACAAAAATATACAACACGTGAACATTTTGGTTTATAATCCTGTTTTTATCAAGGGAAAATCATTCTAATATCTATGAAGTTGGCCCTGACCACTTACAAACATGACGTTCAAACTCACTCACACGACGTTTGCCCGACCATTTTAGAACACCATACTTTTCAGTACTGCAGCTGTATGAAGTTGAGCTCAGTTTTGCATGCTGTTTGAGTAATGCATGGACATGCAATTTGGAAAAAACCCGAGCACCATTACCCTACAAAGGTCAAGGTCAAGTCATTCCATTTGACCAAGACTCAGCAATCAAAGGAAATATCTTGCGTACACGACACTGCTGAATGACTATACTTCTTGGTCGTGATGATCTCAAACAACGCCCTAGATATCAAACCTAAGCGAAAGAGTGTCTGAGAAGACAATACGCTTCGCTTAGACTTCGTGACACCAGAGTCAAAACTAAAATGTACATGATCATGGATAAAAAATACATCTTGAAAAACCCGCTGCTTCATTTGACTCGGACCGGCC